TTCTTCTAGAAGAGATAGAAGGTCCCGCAATGTTTCAATCCAGTCTCTTAGCTGGAGATTGTCTTTTTTCCTGCTAAATCATCAACGTTAACTAAGGTGTTCGATCTACTTGCAAATTTATTCGGAGCCATTGGTAGTTTTATCTTGAAGGCGAGGTCTGATCTTCTGGGGATGTGCCAGTTGTTGAGTGTTACTGTGTGATCAGTGTCTGATAGTGTTTTTCCGTTAAGGACTTAAAACATGGTTTTCTGTCTTTCCTAATAACAGTACTTCTAAACCAGTTACCTCCTTGAAAGAAGGGGTTCGACTGAGGAGCTCTTATTGCAACTGGAGTTGGTTTGTCCGTAGGGTCATTCTCATAGCCTTTTTTGTCTGATTTTGTCTCGTCTAAGTAGCCGTCCTCAGCGTCATCGTTGGCTCCCCTATCGTTGGCTCTTGTCTTTGCCATGATTGACTTCCCTTTATATGAAACAATTGCGTTTGAGACAAGGCTTTTCCAAAAAAAGTTTGGAGATCTGTTCAAGTGTTTCAAAAACGGTGTACATCCAATGGATGGTTGTTTTGTCGAGCGGAGGTTCCAAATGATTTTATCAATAGTTGAATTCATCGTTGGTTTAGGTTCGTTAAAATACATCGCCATAAGTTTCGCTTTCACCGTGTAATTAAGGCGTTCAACAACTCCATTGGATCTGTGATTCCCCACGGTGCATAAGAATAAGTTGATACTGTTTTTCTCACAGAAATTTTCTAAAATCATTTGATGAGAAACATGACGCTTGGTTTTTTCTAATTGAATTGGAAGCCCGTTCAGTTGCAGTAATCAGTCAAAAAGGAAAGAGTTGACGCGGTGGAGATGTTATTTACAACTTTCGCCGAAGTAAATTTTGTAAATCTATCTATACAGAGTAATAGGTATTTCGAAGTGCCCCAATTATTATCCAGGGGAACAGGTAAGTTTAAACTGACTTCGTCGTTCGGTTTTGTAAGTTCCAGTAGTTTCTGCCTTTTTTGCCGAATCAAAATAGCTTTTAAGTTCTTACTGGCTTTTAGACATTGAGAGCAATTTTTTCCGTGGTAGTAGATTTCTCTGTTCAAATGCCGCACCAAATATTTTCTGCCAATGCCTTCATACCGATTTTCTGGGGTGTGCTTCGTGTAACAAACTCATAAATGGGGATCTTAGATCTGCCGGAACGATTAATTGTTTATCGTTAAATAGTAACCCATCTTTCAAATGCATGTCTTTTTGAAAGGTTTTTAAGTAAGCTCCAAACTTATCCATTAGAGTCTTGTTTTTCACTGCCGGTTTTACTTCTGTTAAAAGTTTATCCTCATTCGTTATAAGTTGGATTAATTTATTAGAGCAATGGTCTGTGAATGATAACGGGTAAGATCAGGTCCCCTTTGTATTTAGAAAGTAAGGTTTTATGAATTCGGGACATAAAGTCGTTATCGAATTTAATAGAGATTCCTTGGTTATCTGTAATGACTGATAACTTTTCAATAGAAGCTGAATTATGAAATGCAGTTCTTAAGTTAGTCTTTATTTTTGGATTTAGTTCAGGAAGTGAGTTTAATAAAGAGGGTATAAGTAAAAAGAAATAAGCTCTCTGAAAGTAAAAATTGTCCGAAATTGAATGTTCAAAGTTATAGCCAAATGCAACTGTTTGTGCAAGACTCTAATTGCGAGTGATTTGTATTGCAAATTTTAATTGTTTCAGTGAAGTAATTCCGAATATTCGCGAATAACGACTGTTTGATGAGAAGTAATCTTTCTTTAATTCCGACTGTTTGATTTTTATTATCCAACTTTGTTATTTTATATACAATTTTAGCTTCTACTGGATTCTTTAATGACGTGTTGTTCTTTTCACAATTCTTCTTTGTACACATAGTATTTGCACATAAATTGTCGGTAATGTTGTTGATTGTTGCAACCACGAATTCGTTGTCGTTATGTGATGAACGGAGAGCTTTTCCAAACGTATCCTCGACAGTAGATCTATGAATCCCTCTTTTTACCCGATATATGTCTATTTTTAGGGCCTCATGGTCGGTCACGATTTCAAACTCAGAACCGTACAAGTAATTCTTAAAGTGTTTTGTTTCCCAGACTATTCCTAACATTTCAAGTTCATTAGTTGAATATTTCATTTCATGAGTGTTTAAAAATCTCAAAGCAAAGGCAATAGTTATCCACGTTTCACCGTCCCATTGTTCGAAAGTAGATCCTAATCCGTTGTGAGATGCGTCTGTTGTCAATCTTGAAGGTGTTTTTATATCGAAATGGTTATTCTCGGTAATGTTGACAATTCGAGTTCTTAAGTCTTGGAAAGCCGAGGTGTGGGAATCGTTCCAACGTTAGATTCATTTGTTGTTTGAAAAGGGTCTTAAAGGAGCGCACAGTGTAGATAAACTAGATAGGAAGTTCATGTACTGATTTATTGATCCGAAGAAAGACCTTAGTTCTGAAACGTTTTTCGGTTTCGGGAGGTTTTTATTGAATCGGCTTTCCCACCCAATGGTTTTACTGCTGTATTCGAAATTGTGAAGCCCAACCATTCGATATCTTTTTGGAAAAAGGCAATTTTTTCCCATTTGACTGCCATGTTCTTGATTTTTAAGATATTCAAAATTTTCATTAGGATGTCTCGATGTTCTTCCAGAGAGCCTTTTGAGGCAATTAAGATATCGTCATCGTTACAATTTGGAAAAGTTGTACTCCTTAAAAGGGAACCCATTACTCGTTGAAATTCGTTTGGCATGTGTCCCAAACCATAAAATCCGGTAAGAAGCGGTACGTCCCAGTAGTTTCCCCTCACACAATACTAAAGTTACCTTGCTTGCTTGTGTTGTCGCATAGTTTTAGTTGACTGTATGCGTTTTGCAGATCCAAACTACTAAACCACACAGCCCCCAGTTTTTTTGTTTGACAGTTGTAACGCAATTTAGTCGATCAATTCATGTATGTTCGGCATTTAGTATTTATTTTTAAAATTTTGATCGTTTAGCATCTTTGAACTAATTTTTTTGCATCGTCTTTTTCCCGAGTGACGACTATTGCGCTGCTTATAGGGTAATCTTTGTCGTATTTTCATTTTTGACGATGTGCCCTTCTTATTCTATTTTTTTTTCAATTCTGCATTCACATTTTCTAAAAAAAATGAAGGGTGCCCTTCTACCCTTGGTTTGGATTGGTTTAAAAGGTGAGTGAAATTTGTAGTGAAATTTGTAATTTTTCTTTTCAATGAATTTTTTCCAATTCTCATATAAACGCTTTAAATTGTTTGTACAATTTTAAAGTTAAATTCGTGTGAAAGTTTGAATTATACTTGTCTGGGGGTGAGCCGTTGTTGCCTGGAAGGAGACATTGCTTTTGAGCGATTTCTACGCCGATTCTTGGCAGATTGTCATTCTCTAAAAAGCTCCTCTTATAACTCGACGTATTTAAAAAAAGGGTTTCCACAAAAATCAATCCGTTAGGTCGAATTGGATCCACGATCTTTCCAGTTTTGTTGATAGTATCGTTGGTGAATCAACAATAGAGTGCTCGTGTTTTCTCGTCAACAGGAAGTATTTCCAACGAAGAATCTCTTAATTTTAATTCGTGGAGGACGTTTCGTTTCAAAAAATTGACCTGGTTGGCTGACATTTTTATAGCTCTATTGTGGTTCCGACGGGGAAAATTGACAATTCTGATTATTTACTTTTTCATCTACCCTATTTACAGTCGGTTTTTTAGATTTTGATTTACAGAATCTGCCAAAAGTCCCTTGTAATTATAAACATTACAAATGATGTCCTTTGCTGGGCAAACGTTTAAGTGTCTTTTGGTACAGGCGTTTCCACATTTCATACACGAGTTTGATTTTTTTATGTTCAGGCTTGGTTCTCTTTTTACAATATTAAAGTTTTTGTACATCTTGCCGTTATTACTGGAGCTGTTGTTGGCCTTCGTCAAATTGCTTAATTTTTGGTGATTAAATTAACCCTTTTTGTCGAGTATTGCCTAATTTAAAGCATCCACTGGATTTAAAGTTTCTGACAGAAGCCTCCATTGGGGATTGCAATTTCCCATATTTAAGATAAAAACGTCTTGTTGTTCGGCATTTAACTCGATTTGACAGGTTCTAGTCAACTCAGAAATTGCTGCCCAGAACTGTTCAAAGGACTCTCTGTCCTTTTGTTTTCGGCTCAATAATATGTACCGCTCGAAGAATATGTTAGCTGTTTTTACAAATGCGGCTTCCAGACGATCGAAAAAATCTTCGAAGGAGATTGATAATACTTTCACTCTCGGGTGCTTCTGTGAAAAGACTCTTTTTCCTTCAGATCTCAGGGCTAGTTATAAAATCATTTTTACTATTTATCCGCCTCTAATCTTCTGATGCCTCCGAGTTTTCGTTTCTCCGCGATTCTTTTATCCTCAGCATTCTCATAAAATTTCATTACTTCTTTACTTCTGACCTCCCTGGCTTTCCTCTGAATTTCAGTTTCTGAATTTTGGGCGCCTTCTAAAATTGGGATATCTGTTTCCGACTTCACTGGATCTTTCTGATTATCAATGTCAATATTCTCCTCGACTATTATTGCCAAGTGGAATTGATCTATCCAGTTACTCCAATTGGTGGGTGGTTCATCATTGTGATTTGGCGAAAAGGCGGGAATTCCTTGCAAATTCGTATTTGATGGCTGCGCCATTTTAAGAAGTGTGCAAATACCACTGGTAAATTAAGATTAACTAATATAACGTTAAAAAGAATAAAATAAAGATGTTTGAATTAAAACTGCGTTTCTTTATTTCAATCTAAAAGTGATGCGAAGTCCAATGGACTTCGAATAGACGTGACAGGCAGGTATTTTACTGAGAACAGAAGGTCAGGATTAATATGAAAAAAAGCACAATCACTATAGCATCAGTTTTCAAAGAAACATAAAGGAAGCTTTTGTCTTGAAAACTATCTACTTTCTCCTCGTTCGTCAAGTTCTTATATTTGCAGGAAAAGTTTCTGGCGCTAACGAAGGCTGTGTGCAACAGTCAAAAGAACTCCTTGTTCTATTCAATGATGATCAACATGACCAAATACGAAGAAAACACTCTTCATTCTGACGCCGATTTTGCCGAGGTTTGTAGTTAATCTTGAAAATGAATAGTTCAATTAAACCTCGATAGAGATAGCTCGATTAGTTTCACCTTTTCTCAACCGTATAGCAGCGGGTAAAAACTATGTGGTACGTGTGTAGATTTCTCTAGGTACAGATTTGACAAACTATAACTTGTTCAGATTAGTCTGAGGTAGGTTGACGACCTTTTGCCAGACTATATCGGGCTACTTGTCTCCGCCTAAAAACACGTCGCAAGCTGAGATTCATAGCGTATTCAGGGGGAGTTGGGAGCGGAGACAATTCAAAAAGTGCCTCAAATCTATTTTACGATATTGACTTTTGATAGTTTCACATTTTTAAAGAATCTGTACAAAATAATCAATGAGAATAGGTGTATTGTAATTGCAGATGAATACTGAAATGGTGAAGTGTCTGTTTGCGGATTTTATGTGGGTGGTGGATCGCAGACCAGAAGAGAAGACAGAGGATAGCGAGAAAGACAGTAACGGAAAGAGAAAGGGGAGGGGCAGCAGAAGGGAGCCGGAGAGGGTGCTGTCAGTTAGGAATGTGAACTACTCATTCCTTTTCCACCTCGCCCTCTTCTGTCTCAACAAAGATCTCAGGTAGAATACCACGTGACATCATGTTTCCGCTTCAGCAATGGGGGTTCACCAGAGCCATTTTTTTCGTTTAGTTTTTCTCTCATCGAACTTGCAAGTTTTTTGACAGGCAGCGTTCTTTTTTTAATTTGAAAAGGAATTATTACTGATTCTAGTATAAGGCATAAATTTATTTGTTTTTATTTTTGAAGGAAGATTTTGATAGTAAAATAAAAAACGAAGTAGGTAAATTAGCTAAATTAATTTCTTTCTCTTGGTTTTAGCCTGGTGATCTGGAAGCGACTGGAACGCAGAACTCATTTCTGTCTCTCAGCTGGAATCACTCTCTACAAAGTGAGCCAGATGTCGTTCACCAGCAAGTCCACCTACATGCAGACCAAAATAGAAGAGCTCAGAGACTTCTACGAAGAGGAACTCATCAACATCACCACACAGCTGGCTCAAGATGACTTCTCAAAGCTGAAACAGATCATGATCAAAAATATATACCCGGATATATTCAAGTTCAACGTGATAAAGGCGGCTGAAATGGCACAGTTTGAAAAATTTTTCGCTCAACGGGCGGTCTTGGGCTAGTTTAATTTCTTTTATTGGACCTAGTTTGCCTTTTAGAATCAGCAGTTCATCTGTTTACGGCGTTTAAATGGGAGTTTGGCAGATAATGTATAGGATCATTGAGCTTCTTGATGTGTCAAAAACTGAGCCAAAATTAATTAGGGTTGAAACAGATCAAAAAAATTTTCTTCTTAGAAAAACTAAATTGTTTTTTTTTAGAGCTCATTCTAACAGTTTGGACTGGTCGACTGCAATCACACGTGAAAGATCGGTACATTCTGCTCGGACTTGTTTGTCCTTGGATGATACCTATGCTTGAGTTCGAATCATCAGAACGCCATGCCAGTGTCCTTAACCTTCTACAGGATCCGAGAATAATCACTAACATTTTATCCTTGAGAACCGATTCTGTAATATCCAAGTACCGCATGTTCTATATGGCTCCGATAACTAAATTCTGGGGTAATTTTGTGACGTTTTTATTCTTTTTGGGGCTATTTTCTCAGTTCATGCTTTCAAAAGCGAGATACGAAACCATAGGAGTGATGGAATGTGCATTGATGACCTATGCAGTCGCTGCTACAGTCGAAGAGGTTGTGCAGTTCCACGAATATGGCGACAACTACTCGACGCGGTTAAAAAACTATTTCAAACCAGACACGAACAAACTAGACTCAGCCGTTCTTTTCATGTTCATGTTAACTTTTCTGATTAGAATCCTAAGATATGACTTATTCTTGGGTTTCTCCGCTGCCTACATCACAGGTCACGTGACGAAATTCAAGCAGACATTTGAACTCAACCTTTTCAATAATTTTTCTATAAATACCTTTTGCCTTCAATTATAAGATAATAGTTTTCCACTTGCTTCAGGGATTTTTTAAACCTTTTTTTCTAAAACTTATTACATTTTTTGACTAATTCATATCAACGTTTACGAGTAAAAAGTCAGTTTGCAAATATTCGGTTTCTCTACAATTTTCATTAGATGATCTCGATGATGTCTGCTTGATACTCCCCCGTCGCAGATATCTTTTACACGACTAGTTTGATTCTCGGCTATGTCCGAGTTCTATTCTTTGTCATGATTAAACCTTCTCTCGGGCCATACATAATCATGCTCCAATTCATGGTCAAAGATCTAACGGCGTTCATGGTAATTCTTGTGAGCTGTGTGCTTGGTTTCGGAGTAGCAATGGAGGCCCTCCTCGTCGCCAACTCCCCGGAAAAATCTCTCTGGATAGAGATCTGGGGCTTCCTAGTAAAACCGACTATGCAGATGTATGGTTTTGATCTGTTTCTAGACGACATTGCTCTGGCGTTCAATTGTTCTGCTCCGGACGATGAAAGTTTTTCGACTAACGTCCTTGGGTATGAAAATGAAAAGCGGATTGAAACCATACTTTAATTTTGAGGTTTTTGTGCGAGATCGAAGTGTACTTTTTAAATCTAGGTTTTACAATATTAAATCTAGTTATTTTTTCATATTTTCTTAAACCCAAAATTCTTTTTTTAAGCTTTTTAACAACACTATAAATCCATTTGGTACGTATAAAAGGACTATTTGCTTCGAATAAATTGAATTAAAGCATGCAGATTTGATGCTGTAAAATGGTAGCCGTGGAAAATTCTTGTGATTTATGTACGAGGTACTGTACTCATAGAGTAATTTCAGACAAGGTACACCGTATGTTCGTCACGCAATCTTGTTTTCGGCCGGATAGATTCGTGCAACTTCTTAGTCTAATAGCAATCTTCATCTTACTCTTATATCTCTTAGTCTCAACAGATCTAGTGTATACTTTTATTTACAAGTTAGTTCTTGGAGTTTATCCAGAAGGAGAACAACTGTACTCTAAGAATTATTCAAATCGTTCTGCTGCTACAACTACAAATAGTTTCAGGTGTTACAAATAAAAGCCAATGTTAGTGATGGAATATGATTGGTTAGTTAAGAATATTTTACAGAGATTGTTTTATCAATAATATTATTGGTTTATAAATACTAGTTACGAACTAGTTCCGCCCATCCGGGGCTTAGAGAATTTTTAGTTTTTAATTATTTATTGTAGTGAAGGACGGTTGAGGTAGTTTTCTTTTAGAGGTTTGAGCAGTGACTTCTTGAAGAGAGAAGAGATGTAATAGTTTGGGTAGAGAGAAGAAGAACATTTGTTCGTGTTCCAAATGTGGGTCTCGTTTGAATGTGGATCGTCTTGGGTGATTGTGTCCGGAATTCAGACCGATGCAATGATGTGTTGATTTCGTTAAGCTTAGAGCGAGGCTAAGTGCAAGATGAAGTTTGACTTTTCCGTGTGAAGTGCCAAGTGACTAGGAACGGTATCTGAGATCAACATCGAGTTGGCCATTGGTCTTTTTTCCATTGGTATTCCTTTGGTATTCCTTTGCTGTTGGGTCCATACTTAAAATGCTTTGACGGTTCTGACTACGTCAACAAACGTAATAGATTTGCCATTCCAGAGTTGGATTGTAATCGAGTGTTCATCTCCTTTTACTGCTCGTTCCATTGGCTCTAAGAAATCTTTTGAATCATACTGCATTATATATCTACATCTTGTTAGTGAAGTCAGTTTTTACTTATGATTTAATAATAGTTATTGTCGCAGAAGCGTTTTTGTTTTAGTTCAGTTAATTTAAAGAGTCGCTCACCCTAGAGCAACTCTCATCAAAAATAGAGTATGGGTCACTAAGCGTGGTTGAAGCGCGGTGGGTTAGGCCGGCTATAGAGCAAGCTCAGGACGTCCCTCTGGTTGGTGAGGCCAGGAGTAAACTTTTATCTTCTCTTTGGACAGAGTCTTTTTTTGTGTTCAACCTTTTATTTCCTTTTTATCATGTGTTTTCTTTTTTTTTATGGTTCTGTCTTTTTCTCAAAAATAGAAAGTAGCGTTTTGGGTTTGTCTTTTGACTTTTTAGTGTTTCATTTGGTTTCAAAAAAAACTTGAAAACAAGAAATTATCCAGTATTGATCTGGGTTTAATCCGGTTTGGGTACCGTGGGACTTTCTTTCTTATTCATGGTATTTGTTTGCGGTTTTATGGCGTTAGTAAGCTGCGTTGGTTAGCTTGAGTTTATTCTTATATTTCCTTTCAACCGGGTTAAAGGAAAGTTTGAAAATTGTGAAAACAAGTTAGAGTTGGTATCAGTTAGTTTTGAAACTAAAAATTCACTTATCAAACACTTCTTCGTGGAGAGTTGTGCGAATTGGTGGAAAGAGTGGGTGGCATTTAGGCGAGTGCAGAGATTGAAAGTTTACAAAGGAAGCTTAACATGAAACAAATAGTTTTCTTTTGATTTATTTGCAGTATTTATGATTTTACTGTTCTAATCATTTACTTCATTTGTTAAATAGGATTTTAGGAGCTCTAGAAAAAAGTTTACAATTTTTGATTTGGGTTTGTTTGTTTTTAGATGAACGGTCGGTGAAATCTAAAAAAAGGAAAGTGAGACAATTGTATAATATGGTGAGCGTTTTCAAATAATTGTTAGTTGAAATATTCATTTATACTTAGAAAGAGTTGTCTTCATCAAAAAATCCATATGAGAAGTTAGAGCGAATTGTGTTGGATGATGTGAAAAAATTCGCAAGCATGCGGACGATGTGTTTAGTCTGAAGCAGAGGCCCGAGAAGCTCTAACACTCGGCAAGGTATTTAGTTCTTCATTTTTATGTCAAAATACATGAGATGTGTTTTGGATTAAAATATATAATTTATGATTCTATTTAATATTATGTATCTACTCTAGTATGGGGATTTCAATTGACTGTATATACTCGAGGGGGATGATTAGTGTGCAGGAGTCGTCAACATCAGAGGATTTCGTTGGTGGGCAGAATATATACAATTGTCGAATTGGATCGTAGTTACGGACGATGCCGTGAAGATTAGTATTCTTTATACAATCAGAAAAATTTAGGAAATATGGTGAAGTGTATTTGGAGTTAATGAAAGTAAATCTGTGTTGTGGGTTTCATGATAGGGTCGTCTTCAATATCTGTGTCTTCCATTTAGCGTGTAATAGCGTGGTAATAATAACTAATGGAAAATCTGTTAGCTCGTGGTGCTATAAATCTGTGTAGTATCTGGTTTAGTCCTGTAGTATTGAATTGTTTCTCGTGTCGTGCAGTTGTTAGTTTATGTAAACGGGATTGGCATAGTTCGTTATCAGCGGGATTATTGTATAAGGGAAGAGCTAATGGATTAGTAAAGTGGTAGTATGAGGAAACAGGCTATACTCATCAACGAAGTTCAGTTGGTCGTTCTTAGTGGTCTGGTAGTATGTGTACTGTGGGAAAATGGAAAAAATGGTAAGTTTTAAGAATTCGTTACTGTTAGTATGGACTGGATGAAGGGAAAATAGCTGGGCTGGTCGGGGTGGCTGAGCAGTTGGGATTGTGCATTAGGATGTTTACGTTTGAAAACTCTGTGGGCTCTTGTTTTTATTTCGTTGGATGAGTGGTTTGAGGAATCAGAGGTTGATATGGAGTGTGATAGCTGATTAATTGTTAGTGTAATAGTATTTTGAAGTTGCTGTTGCAGGGTGATGAAGTTATCTAATTCATGCTTTAGTTCGTCAGTGACGGGGCTAAGTGGGTCGGGTTGATCGCTGGTCATTGGGAAAAGAATGGGAGTGGTGTCAGTATAGGAATAGGGGGTTGGGGAGGGTTCATTGGGAAGATGGGAAGTAAGGGGCTGGAAAGGGGGTTGCGAAAAAGGTGATGGACTGGGTTCGGAGTCTTGAAATTCGTCTTAGGTATCTATGTCGGAATTATTGAATTGGGAAATTGTTTTAATAATAGTTGGTGTGGAATTATCAGAATCCATGCGTGGTGAGAAGTCAGGTTGGAAAGGAAAATGCGAGAGGAGTGACATTCGAGGTTGGATGGGTAGGAAAGTCAACGGTTGAGGGATCCAATATGGCGGCTCATCGTGGGCTAAAAAATGTTTGTTTTGAGAACGCAAATTTGTGGTATGTGGTTGTTTTACAATCTGTTCATATGTGTCGTCAATGTTTGGCTGGTGAAGTGCTATATGAGATACTGGGCTTTGTGAGTAGCTATGACTTTGATAGATGTGCTCTGTTACTGCTAATGTATTTCTGTAATTTCGTGGTACCAAATATAAGGGGTGATTGTTATGTAGGTTAGGTAACTGTGGTGGTGCTGTGGGTGTTGGGTTTGTATTGTATTGTGAAGGATCGTATGAGTTTGGTGTTGTTGATAGTTTTTTATTTTAATCGCCAACTTGAGCGTCGAGGAGAACTTTATGATTCGAATTTGAAACAATTCCGAAAAATCCTGCAAATGAAACACGTGCTACAATTGCTTGTTTATTTACTTGTGTATTTATCGCGCATGTGTTGTAGATTCTTTTCAATACTGAGAAGAGGAATCCGAGAAGAGGAACATGGCGTATAATACAGTCAGTCTTTCTAAGATCTAGTACGGCCATCCTAGAAAAACGAGAAGATCACTTTTTAGGTTTAAAAAACTAAAAATATATATAAGTGATATATCCTGTGGACGGTACTTTTTACTAATAAGATGTATATAGTCTTTTATATCTTTAAAACATCTGCTGTAATATTGTGCGTAGATACCTGACAAATGTGCGGTTTCAACGAGTTTTCTCTAGTTTTGATCTATTGATTGTCTTTGTATCGTATCCATTTTAGTGAGGAGTTCTTGAAATTGTTGTGTTCGAATCAGATGTTCTATATCTGATCTTGAGTATATAACTATCGGTTGTAAGTCTATATTTGGGTTACGAGCGCTTGCTCTTATACTTTCTGGTGAGAGTTTCTTTAATGGTGGCATGAGAGTAGGGTATGGAAATGGAGATAATTTTTTTCCTCGTTTGTGTTTAGCTGTACTACCTTGTGGCTATTTTCAGATCCACATGGGATAGCTCTATCCCAAAAAAAATGCGTCTTGAAAAGGTATCAACAAAACATACCTTATTTTTGTAGGATATAGGGATAATTTTGTAACATCATTTATCTTTAAAAACGTATAATGGTGATACTTTTTTAATACATGTGTAGAACCAGAGAATGTTTCCTTCGTAGTTAATAATAATTGATCTATTTGCTGATAATAAAAATCCATTTTAGGGTATTTTTGATACTGCAAATGCAAGTGATTGTAATATTTGTGTACGTTCGATTTCACATAAGCGATGAAGTTTTTCTAGTTCGGATAGTGAAATTTTTTGAAAAATTTTTACTTATTGTGGAGTCCAATTTCATATCTAGGTGTATATCATTGTGGATTGCACCATAAGAAGTGTTATTCCTTTGTGAAAATTCTTGTAAACGTGTGCTATCTTTATCTTGCGGGCAAATTTTTCCGCCAGG